CATAAATTTCCATTGCTACACAGATGATACTCTATTTATCTATCTATATTTACCAGATGTTGTTTTTAAAGTGCTATATAAATACATTTGATTTGATTTGATCTATGAACCCAGATGAATCAGATCAGTTGGTCAGACTTCAAGCATGCATTAAAGACATAAAGGCCTGGATAACCTGTAATTTCCTACTTCTAAACTCTGACAAAACTGAAGGTATTGTACTTCTTTTATTGTATTATTGTAATTATTGGCCTGAAAACCTTAGAAATCTGTTGTCTAACCATATAATTACTCTAAAAGACATAGCCCTGGCCTCCAATACTGCTTTGAGGAATCTTGGAGTCATTTTTGACCAGGATATGTCCTTTAAATCACACATAAACCAAGTTGCTAGAACTGCCTTCTTTCACCTGCACATTATTAAATATGGAGCATCCTCTCTGAAATTGATGCTGAAAATCTGGTCCATGCATTTGTCACTTCCAGGCTGGACTACTGTAACTCCTTACTATCAGGATGTCCCAATAGTTCCCTAAAAAGCCTCCAGTTAATCCAAAATACTGAGTACTGACAGGAACTAGCAAGAGAGATCATATCTCTGTCATATTAGCAGATGTACGTTTCTGATGTGCAATCACATCAAGCTGACCAGTGTCTGATTGTCTGTTGTGTATTGTTGCTTTTTTGGTAAGGTTACAACATCAGGCATACTGAACATCACTCCCGGCCATACATCTAGCAAATCTCCAGTCCCTAGCCAACAAAATGCATGAACTGCTGCCTGTCAATCGGACTAACTCTGACTTCACCTTCCACAGCTTTATGCTTTGTGAAAAGTGGCTCGGCAACTCGATCCCTGAAGAGGCTGTTCAGCTGCCAGGATTTCACATCTACAGCATGCACCACATGAAGGAATTATCTAGAAAAAAGAGAAGAAGAGGAATCTGTTTCTACATTAATGGAGGTTAGTGTAGAGATGTCACTGTGCTAGAGAGAACTTGAAATATGGATTTTGGGCCATTATTCATTAAGTGTAAGCCATTTTACTTTCCTAAAGATTTTTTCTCGTTTATCCTGGTTGATATTTATATTTCACTACAGGCCTGCATTAAAATACATTGCAGCTCCTACCAACTGGATAATAAGTATAGAATAGAAACACCCAGGCTCCCTGCTTATTATTTTGGGGGATTTTAACAGAGCAAACCTTACCCACAAATTGCCCAAATACAGACAACATGTCAGTTGCACCACTGGGGACAAAAACACACTGGCCCATTTCTATACTATAATTAAGGATGCCTATCACTATATTCCCCGTGCAGCCTTTGGGCTTTCGGACCATTGCATTTTAGACCTCACTGCCACTTACAGACAGAAACTTAAAGCTGCAAAACCTGTGGTCAAAATGGTGAAAAGATGGACTGAAGAGGCAAAGTCAAAGCTACAGGCCTGCTTTCACTGTATAGACTGGGGTGTTTTTGAGGCTGCAGCTACACACCTGGATGAGTATACTGACACTGTGAAATCACACATCAGCTTCTGTGAGGACAAGTGTGTGCCCATTAAGACCCTGCACATTCAATAATCTTGGTTCACAGTGAAGTTCAAACAGCTCTGTTGTGCTAAAAAGGAGGCCTATAGGAATGGGGACAGAATCCTGTATAACCAGGCCAGAAACGCATTGACAAAGGAGATCAGCGTAGCAAAGAAGAACTACTCTGAAAAGCTGAAAAATCAGTGTCAGGCCAACAAGCAATCGTCAGTGTGGAGGAGCCTACGGAACATTACTGGGTACAGGAGAAAGAATCACTGGTGCCAGACTGCCCTCCATGGAGGACTGGTACACCTCAAGGGTCAAAAGAAGGGCAGAGAAGATTTCTGTGGACCCCTCACATCCTAGACACAGTTTGTTTAAACTCCTCCCCTCTGGACGGCGCTACAACTCACTGTATGCAAAAACAACCAGACACAAGGACGGTTTCTTCCCCTGGGCCATCACTTTGATGAACAGTTAGTCCATGTTTAAGGTAATAGGAGGATAGAGTAAACACCACTGCACAACAATGTGCAGATGAAATATTTAGTAGCTCTTTTTAAACTTATATATTGGTATGTGTTGTATATTTTTGTCTTTTGGTTTTTTACTTGTTGTTCTGGTTTTATTCTGTTTTTATATTGCTGTGCACATCGGGGGTCACTAGGTTAAACAATATACTCAAAATTGTTTCACATAGAAATATGGGACTAGTATTGTTTCAAAGAAATTGTCAGGGCTGCTCGGCGGCCGCTGCCTCTCCTCCGTCTTTCTCTCCTCTGCTCTCTCTATCCTGTGGGCTCTGCACCTCAGCTGTGTTGCATTCCAGTAATTAGCGACTGGTTTGTTGAGGCACACAGTTGGGGTGCATCCCAATGATTACCTTCTCCTTACTTATACCTCTGGCAGACGCTCCATTGTCGCCGGAACATTAACTATGTACCGCGTAACATACATGTTGGTAGAATGCTACGCTGACAGACACTGTGCGTTTTGGCTCGACTCTATCACACTACATATGCGCTACACTACCCTATATGCAGACCGTACGTTCCCATGTTATGTTCTTTTGATACTTTGTGTTCTCTTTATTTACCTGCTACTGTCATGCTTTTCCCCCTAGCACCTGGGTCTCCAAACTTGAGTCCAACCTCAGTCCTCCCTCACCCTCCTGGTGAGGGGGGCTACCATAACAGAAATCATCTTTTCACAATCAATTTGGCATGGCAGATAGGTCTAGATCCTACAATACCAGTGTTGCTAGATACATGCATTTTGACATAATGTACTTAATAGTAAATTTTAATTTAAAGTAAATTGATTTAAGTGCAGACTGTGTTTTCATTTTTCTCAAAACTCTTTAGCTTACACCTGCTGTAAAAAAAAAAAAAAAATCACCCTCATGAATGATGATTTGTTACCGGACTGTTGTATTAGACTATAACACCGTCTAAAATGCCAACGTCCTTGTTATGTACCTTTATTATTCCGTATTTTTCATAGACTATTATTCTTGCCAGGTTGGAAAAGCTCATTTAGATCATCTTTGGACCACACATCACACCACAGAAACAGTTTGAAATGAAAGGTCAGCAGTTCCTTAATCTAAAGTAACACACAACACCTTTGCAAAGTCATGTAAATTCACACATGGAGTATTAGCTGATGGCAGCACCTCAGCTGTTCTCAGCCTTACCTGAAGAGATCGACTTACGGAGGAGGCAGCCAAATACCAATAAGGGGAAATTTAACTGTGCAGTGCTCCAGGATAAAGAGCTTATACATGAAACCTCTGGAAATACACACGAGCTGGCTGTGTAAAATGTTGTCACTTTAAACATATCCACAATAAAATCCCCCAGACATATTTAGTTAACTGTATGAGGGGAAGCCTGGTGTTGGCTGTGAGGCACAGTGCCAACCATGGAGGAGGACAGAACAAAGAGGAGGGAAGTGTAAAGAAGGAAAAGGACAGAGGGAGGAAGAGTATACTGTATATCTGAAAACCTACAGTGTAGTAGTGTGTGACATGCTGCAGATGAATCTGTTTGAAGTCTGCAATGTTAATGGCTTCCCTCAGGCATTTATGATCCTCTGTATGTTACAACAATGGCATTCTCACAAATGATGCCATCTCTGAATATGATACTGACATTGAAGGCAAAGCACTGGTGCACTGCATGTGTAATGTAACCAGTATACTGCTGGAGTATTGCTGTATTATCATTTATCATAGTTTTTGGCACCGATGCCATTGTTGTTAGCTGCCCTTTACATGTTGCACACATTTGAGTTGACATGCATATATTGGTGAGAAGGAAAGACAGGGGATGTAGTAAAAAAATAAGTGTCCAGCACTTGGGCTTACGTTTCACAACCAACAACAACAACAGGAACGCTTGTCAAATTAAATAGCACTCTAACATCTGTAATACTGGTTGGATTTATGGCTTCTGTGAAAAGAACAGGACAACAGTGCCTCGTTTGGATCATTCCTTTTTATTACCTTTCCTGGAAATGTCTTCATTTGGCATTTTATTGCCATTTCAAAAAGTAATGGTTGTTTTTCAGTAATGCATACACAGTTGTCAGCTCTGTGGTCACAGACAGAGAAAACAAAAAGCTGTAGTAACACAAACCTGCTTTAGCTCATTGCTGCAACAAACAATTTAAAAACGAAAATGGTGGCTGAATATAAGTCTGCCGTGATCTGTCTTTTCACTTGAAACACTCTAGATTGTCAGTCTGTGCACAGAATAGCACTAATAAGACGTACTGTATATGCAGTAGTATGCAGTGACAGTATACATAGGAGGAGTGCAACTGTATCAAAGCACAGCAACAGTGTGGCTTGGAGCTGTTTAACAGAGAATAATCAGCCTACACATACTGTATCATTAATAGAGGCTGACTCATGTCATCTTGAATGGAATCCTTGAAACAGCATCACACAGCCTGGGAAATAAAAGGACAAGAAACCACTGTAACAGAGTGGCAGCACACAAGAATCATTTGTGAAATGCAACATTTGCCTGTGTTTGTGAATACTGTATATGCAAATTAATAAATAAATTCCTGTGTCCATGCATGATTTATGAGCTTTAAGGGGTAGTTGACATGAAAAAAATGGCTTTGTTCTTCAGGAGAATTGTGAAACTAAAATCCTTCTCAACTAAAAAAAGAGAAGCTTGTCTCAGATGTCTAAAGCTGCAGCTGCTAAACCTCTTTTCCTAAGCCCTCTGTGTCAACTGCATTTTTTAGTCAGGAAATCACTGATAGCATCAAATATAACCTTATAAAAAGAATGACACCTTGCTTTGAAGAGGTACTGGCTCTTCGAAGTAGTGATGGCTAAAGGTTTTAGTAGTAGGGCAACTCTTTCATGTGTGGCCATTCTCATGTAAAGAAAAGGGGACTAGTGAGGC